AGTGAAAATAATGACGTCATTATTATAAGTCGCGTCATTGTTTAAACAAAATTAATTCAAATCTATCTTCTTTAGAATATCCGACAATTTATATACTTTGCAATTAAAGTTTTTGCGCTATGTGGCGTGATATGCAACAACATGTGTAGGATTAAAGGGAGTACGGGTGAGCAAAAATGAATTGCAATCCGTTTTCAACATCAATGTCCTTATCAATCCCGTACTACTTAAAGGCCTGGTCTCTGAGCTTCTTGTTGATGCCTATATTTCGTTTAACAAGTGTGATCGTATTATGGTGGTCCAGGAATTGCGTGACCCAGTTTCGATCTTGTGCAAATCAGTCAGTAAACGTTCAAAACCTTCGAGATTTTGACTTGATAGACAAATAAATGAACACTCATGAAACTAATGATTCTCGAAGTTGGCAGCGTAGCCGTAGACTGATTTTGCCAAATGTTTTGCTTTAATTTGATCATGCAAAATATACTTTATTCGGGCAAAATGTGTCCAGTGCTGTGCCGTGTATAAGTGAGGTGTAAATCTGGACAAAGTATAGATAACTAAATACGCTGTTTTCAAAATTATTTCTTCGCATTCGATAATAAGTAAAATGTCTCACAACTATTTAGAATAAACATGCCGTGCCTAAATTTAACCGTTTTGCCGTACATCAAATTTTGCCGTGCCATTGCACTAAATATTGCGGCTACAGTCGTGTACGTGCCGTGTAAGCGGGACTTAAAGGATTAGCGTCACACCAGGAATTCGCGGGCTCAAACTCCTGCTGGCGGCCATTTTTCGGGACGAAAAATTCGATGATCTGGAAAATGTTTACAATCCGTCATACATTTAAACCATCCTTTTATAATCCTAGCTCATTTTGTGTGATTTTAATCAGAAATGTACCGAACAAGGTATTTTTATCGCTATTTGTTGTATTTGATAAAAATGTAAACAATAACAAAAACCCGCAATGCATGACCCTAACACTAATTCTTTAAGCTAACTTATCTGAATTGCTGCTAGGTTAATGTAGTTTCATCTCGCCTATTCATGGCTTCATAACTGCATGCTAAAAATAAATGTCTTTGTTTTTACGGTTCGTGATTTTTTGTGACTATAAATATTATACAGGGTGTATATTATACAGGGTGTATAAAAAAGAACACCTTTAGAAATCAACCACATGATTGCTTAAATTTGAATGTCTTAATTTTAATTGCACATATGCTGAACCGTGGTGCGGAAAATATTGACGGAGTGCATATATATTAGAAAAAGGAGACCTTTTGAAATCAACCATTGTTATAATTTAAATCCTGGAGCACTTTGCTAAACCCACGAGTACGTAACATGCGATCGATCTACGTATACTATGCATGACAGATTGTTTCCAGGAACAGACAATCTTGTGTTTGAACGTTATTTCAATTTCTAAAGGTTTCCTTTTTCTAATATATGCACTCATCAATATTTCACGAACTACGATTCAGCATATGTGCAATTGAAAAGACAATTCAAATTTTAACAATATGGTCGATTTCTAAAGGTCTCCTTTTTTATACATCCTGTATGATAACCAGATAGGAGTATTATTTCTTTGCGCTTTGAGAAACTAAGCCAGCGTGTTAAATTTAGTCAACTTCAGTGGCGTAACGTTAAGAACAAAAGATTTCAGGTGCCAGGGAATTTAAAATAGCACAACTGTCAAAATTACTGCTCACGCGAGTGCATAAAGCAAACTTTATGATTTATTTAATGACAGTTAATAAGTTTTTATTTTACAAGTACTGTACAGGGTGTCCCAAAAAAACGAAAACTATATTGGAATCACTCATTGTTAAAATTGAATGCCCTACCGGAAAGCTGAACGTAATGATGCGTAAAATATTGACAAGGTGCATGTATTAAAACTCGTGGGAACCAACAGAGTGCCTAGGCATTCAAACAACCTCGTTCCATGGGTTTCAGTGTGAGGACGAAGCGAGACACGAGGAAGCCCTGGTCCGGGCCGGTCAATTTTGCATTCTGATTGGCTAACACCATATTGTCTAAAAATAACTGAACTTGACAGTTGACAATAACAATTCAACATTTGTATTTTTATGATTCTTGTGCATGTGTACGAGTATGTTTTGCAAAATAATCTTTCAAAGTAAGACGTTTTCTTTCAGATCAGTGCGTTTTCCCGACTGCATGATTTACTTTCGCCTCGGCCGGTTACAAAACTCAAAAGCCGTGTCGAAATGAGCTGTGATGTTTCCTGACAAAACAAGAAACGTCTACTATTATTTAAGCTGTAGTTTTCCTTGTACAGTATTTATTAGTGCAGATGTCTGATGAAATACTACGCGTATTGCATTGCAGTAATATTTTAATTTACAATATTCTGTACTGACAAACAAAAGCAAGACAAACAATTAAATGAAGCTACTAAATTAACTTAGGCCCTGTTTACTTAATAGCTCTACGCCTAGGCCGATGTAGTCTACAAGATTCGCACGCCACCCAGTTTTTCAGTTTCAGAATACCCCGAATACTTGAAAATTGCGACGATACGATAAAATAAAACAAAGATTGTGAAGGGGATAAAATTTGTAGGCTAGCATTGCTCCTGAACGGCAAGTGTTGGTGTCCGACGAAACAATGAAAACAAGCGAATCCGTATACTCCTGTACAGCGTAAACAGGTTACGCGAGGTTTACATTTGTGTTTATTTATATTGAACTAAGTCAGATCTATAAGAGCATATTTTACCTAAATATTAATTATAGCAATAGCCATATTCTTCAAGACGAGAGAAAGGAAATTTCGTGTGAATTAGGCCTACCACTTGCATGGAGACACCTAGATGCAGGTTTGCCTGTAGTTGAAAATCTCCAGAAATATCGGTATATGATTCGTGCCAAACTTCGCTCTACACATAAATAATATCAATTGAGAAGTCTTTTGGCTATTTATTCGTTTCGAAGATTTGTATATTTCATTAAAGAATATCTCGCCACTCCTTGATGAGTAGCTGTCAAATACTGCCATTTTTTGCCGTCACGTGACCGGCCCGGACCAGGGCTTCCTCGTGTCTCGCCTCGTCCTCACACTGAAGCCCTGGGAACGAGGTTGGCATTCAAATTCTAACAATTAAATTGTTATTGGTGATTTCAATAGTTTTCGTTTTTTTGGGACACCTAATTGTACAACAACAGTAATATGATCTATTAGCAATTCAATTTCAATTCCCAGTAGCCTAAAATCTTTTATGCTTAAGAATTGCAAAGTAGATAATGATTTCTTAGGAAATTCCGAGGTTGCGTTTTTTTATACACCCTGTATTGTGATTGTGGTCACAACAATAGACAAGACAATGTCTTTCTTATTGTTTGTATATTTGCTGAGTATTAATAATATGTATACAGCTGATTAGTCGGTGGGGCCACTTGTGGTGCCCACCGACTCTAGGTTTGCCCTTTGGTAGGTCACAAAATGACAAATTACCTCATTTTAATTACGTAATTCTTACAAAATAAAAATCAAAATGATTGATTATATTTGGTCCAGGCGTGTCTTTTCTTTTCGGGTTTTTGAAAGAAATACATTAAGAATTCACTAAAGATTATTACGACGTGTCACTGTTATGTTATTGAGGAGGGAGGTGCATAATTTGTACATAATTTTATATATTTAAAGTTTGTATCGCACGGCGGAGATATCGGGTGCGCAATTTTGATGCTTTCTCTATATTTGCTATTGAATTTTCGAAATCTCCGGCGCGCATTTCCAAACTTTGCAGCCAGTAATATTATTTTGGTCTTTTGGATCTACATAAATTAAACTTAAAGTCAGACATGGCCTGCTTCTTTTGAGTCTACATCCTATTCCTATTCAATAGCATTGAAGGATTATAAGGTTTATTGGGACAAAATGTATATTGCCAAAAGCTGAAAAGGAAGAACTCAATTTCCTGATATTGTGGGGAGGTAACTTTGAATCTTTCTTGGCACAAGAACATATATTATTATTCCAGTTTGGCCGCCTTTATACTGAACACTGGTATATATGTAGAATAGTAGGTATGACTAAATGCTCTTTTCCCCTAATCGCAAAACCAGCTCGCAGCGACCTTGCGAGACCTAGCGAGTAACTCGCAGCGAGCTTGCAAACACTCGCAGCAAAGTTAATTAATTTGAACAATATTTTCCGTTGGCGCGAACAAAGAAGACTAGTAGCCAATGGAATTCGTTGGAAATATCATTTAAACATTATATTTATCATATTTATCATATTTATTTATCATTTTAACGTTTTACATACTTGAGACGTCTTCTCCTACGTCGTCTTAAATAAAGCATGGATTGTAATATAACTGGATAGGAAACTGCAGTCAGGTGACATGTTTCCATCCCGCTGATTGGCTGAAAGGTCTTTGCTCGAGAGATGTTGAAACCTAGTTGTAAATCGTGATGTCAACAATAGCGAATGATGGCGAAGTATTGTTAATTTTCCTATGCTTTTGACTGAGATTTGTTTTACCTTGATGTTTTCTGTGTTGATTTTTTTACCTTGATGTTTTCTGTGTTTTACCTTTTCATGTTTTTTGGTTGACAATGTGTTTGTTCTTGTGATATGTTATTTTATACTGATCTATTCCCAAAATGAACCCGCCTAAATCACACAACTTTTAAGGCAATTGTCTATCTTTATTATTGTTTATATTATTGTCAGTTTACAACAGAGCAAATGCGTCGCCAATAGCAGCCTATTTTGCCCGATTACTTCCGTATTGGCGATGCATATTTGGAGTATTTAATCTGTGTATTTTTACACATGGCATACTTCAACAAGTAGATTTATCCTTTTATTGTGGCTTAGTCATATTTACAAACGTTAAGTTTGGTTTGAAATTGTTATTTTTTCGATTTTAATTTGTGTTTTGAAAGCCAATTTGCAACTGGGTTTAGACTGTGACGTCAAGAAGTTTCCTATCCAGTTATTTTGCAATCCATGAATAAAGTAAGAGCAAAATGCGCCGAATTAAAGCAACCGCAATTTTATAGAAACGTAAATTAGTCACGCAAGATGATGAAGTGTGGGCTGTTTTTGCAATGAGTGGAAAAGAGCCTTAATTAAAGCGTTATTGCTATACATGGTTGTAGACACAAGTCATTAGCAAGTCGCTTGGTCATCATGCGCAATAATGACGTTTCCACTAACTATAATTAACTTTAATCACTTTTTTATACAGCCGGCCTCAGGCAAACTGCAAACTTCAAGAATCAATATTTTCGGAAAAAAAAGCACGCGCTCTTCTTTAGTGGTATTACTTATACTTAAAGTTGCATATTTCCATCGCCCCAGCGACTTAACGCTCCGAGGAGCGTCTTGTTCAATTAAGGTTGTCCTTCCAAAACCTTAAACGTTAAACTCTGAGCGCGCAATCTAAACTCTATCAGCTAATTCAATTAAGGACAACCTTAATTGAATTAGCTGATATTACTTGCTACGAACGCGGTAAAAAATTGCTTCTATCTTGCTTTTAAAGTCAAAAATAAAAATTCAAACACCGTCAATCGATAGGGAATATTGCTTAGAATAATTATGTCAAGTTTCATTCCGGTCGGACAAGTAATGACGGAGCCTTAGAGTTTTTTCAAAGAGCGTCCTCCCCTCCCCTCCCCCCCCCCAACAAGAAGAAGATTGGCAGCGATTGGAGACCAGTTCCTGATCCAAAAAGTGTTGTAAATTTTGTATTATTTGCCTTTCTTGTGTTTGTTATGTCTCGCATAATGAAATTGATAAACTGGTAAATATAAGATATTTTAACGTTAAAATGGAACAGGATAAATACATCAGGTCGCCTTGAACCACAGTTAATAAAATAAGATGGTTTGGGCTAGCTGGTTTTAAAATATGTTATTATTCTCGACTATTGAGGTCACGTGACGCTTTTAGTGCATCAGCGATAAACAATGAATGCTTTACAATATGAGCGGCGACGCACTTCTACGCCGAAAACCTTCGAATTAACTGCTTTTTCTAGCGAATTTTGGAAAAATCTCAGTAACTACGCTACGCCGGGTGCCAACTGTGCAAAGTATGGCTGTTCGACAAGTCGAAAGAGTGGTCTTTCGTTATTTAAGTTACCTTGACCTAGAGTGGATAATTGACAAGAGACGAGGGCTTCGAAGGAGATTGCGCGTAAAGAATGGCTACATGGATACTAAGAACAACGGAAATGACCCCCGAACTGAAGCAGAAAATCGAGGAAAATAAGATTTTCCTATGTGAGCGTCATTTCAAAGAAGAATTGACATCTGATTGTAAGTACGGACTTTTTATCTTTGAGCGAAATATTGTAATTGCTCGGCCTTTGTCTTATTGTGTATGGTTGAAATATTGGCGGATTATATATTGAATGTATCTTAAATACTAGTCTAGTAATTGAATTTTTGTCCTTTTGTAGACTGAAAGAGTTGAAATCGTTAGAAACAGGAGCTGTTCCAACTGAAAATCCAGATTACTGAATTACCAGAACTGAATTACCAGATTCGCTTTCAACATCACTCTCAGATTGTGGTATTTCATGTTCCTCCTTTGCCCTTTTTGACAATAAATACTCCTTTTTAATTAAATCTTTATTAACCCCTGCTTCTACTAGACCTTTTGTAAACAGGTCGAGCCCTCGTGGTTCAGGAATGTGAGAGTTGTATGGTAAAAGTGCGTATTGTAAAAAGTTCTCGATGTTAGTTCCAGGAATGTCTCTTCCATGATAAACAATCTCACCCTGAGGATTCCAAGTTAAAATATCACGTGATATAAGAATAGAATGTAGCATATTTTCTGCTGTAGTTTTTTTGACATTATTGTTCAGATACAAAAGTATATCTTCAATGCGCCAATGTCGCGGAGATGTTTTACTCTCGATGTTCATTGTTGAAATGATGTATAAATTGAAGTCACAGGGCTTTTATACAAGTTCAGCCAGGCTTTCCAAAATAGGACTTAGTAATAGTCCAAGGAAACCTTCACCATGTTGAACGAGTATCTGTTTTTTTCTTCTTCCACATTTTCCTCTATCTACCAACCTAAGCATTTCATGTTTGTAAGGTCGGAGTTTCTTCATTACATGCTTAGGCATTAAATATTTTCTTTTCATAACGTTTTCTACACAGAGACACAGGCAGTGTACTTGCTCGGCGGTTGCTGTTTCCAGTAGTGCTTGTTGTTGATCAGGCTCAGACGTGCCCAACAATTCATGAAATAGCTTGCTCCTTAGAAGATTGATCATTTCTGTTCAACGGTTTGGAAGCAAATGAGTAAAACACAACAATAAGGAAGCTTATATCGGAAGAGAGAAAGCAATTTATACAAGGCTCCGAGCTACTGAGAGCTCGACTCTGAGCTTATCGAACTTGGCTCCTTGTGCATGTCAGATAAGGAAGATAAGAGGATAAATATAAGGAAGATAAGCATAAAGATAAGAGGATAAATATAAGGAAGATAATGATAAGGAAGATACGAAGATAAAGATAATAAGATAAAGATAAGGATAAAGATAAAGATAAAGAAGATAAAGATAACAAAAAGATACGAAGATAAAGATAAGGATAAGGATAAAGATAAGAAGATAAAGATAAAGATAAGGAAGATAAAGATAAGGATAAGAATAAGAATAAGGAACATAAAGATTAAGATAAAGATAAAGATAAGAAGATAAAGATAAAGATAAGGATACTGATAAGAAGATAAAGGTAAAGATAAGGATAAGGAAGATGAAGATAAGGATAAAGATAAAGATAAGGATAAGGATAAAGATAAGAGGATGAAGACAACGATAAGGAAGATAGGGAAGATAAGGAAGATAAAGATAAGGATAAGGAACATAAAGATTAAGATAAGGATAAAGATAAGGAAGATAAAGATAAGGATAAAGATAAAGATAAGGATAAGGATAAAGATAAGGAAGATAAGGAAGATAAAGATAAGGAAGATAAAGATAAGGATAAAGAAGATAAAGATAAGGAAGATAGAGACAAATAAAGATAAGGAAGATAAAGATAGGGATAAAGATAAAGAAGATAAAGATAAGGAAGATAAGAATAAAGATGAGGATAAGAAAATAAAGATAAAGAATATAAGGAAGATAAAGATAAGGATAAAGATAAGGAAGATAAAGATACACAACAATACTGGATAGATGCATTAATGAATATATAGAACGAATGCGCCAACTTATTATCACTTCCAGCTAGACGTTCGTTGTGTGAACGTGTCCTTTCCGTGCAAAATATGTGCCAAAGTATTTTCAACACGCGGCAACCTCAAGCGTCATACTTTGAATACCCATGGAGATGTTGAAAGCAAACCAGTTGAAATCTCAGCAGGATCTACAGTTTTGCAGCATCCTTTCACACGTATCGTAGCTGGGTGTACCCAAAGCGGCAAGACTGTATGAGTAAAATCTCTCTTGGAGAATGCACAGAAAACTATAAGTCCTGCTCCTCAACGTATCATTTGGTGTTATGGTCAATGGCAACCCTCCTATTTTGATATGATGAGAACGATGCCTGGAATCGAGTTTAATCAAGGCATCCCCGAAGACATCGAAAACGCAGATTACTTGGACGTATCGCAACGGAATTTTATCGTATTGGACGGCCTTATGGCTCAATCTGGCAAAGATAAACGTATTTCTTTCTGATCTTTTTAACGAGCGAGGACGCTGAAAAATGCGTAGTCAGCAAGTTTCGCCCGATTGTGTTTAAACCTGCCCGCGTGACGTCATTGCATATAATTATGACGTATCTTAATGAATGACGTCATTACGCACCCTGATTTGTGTGAATATTAATTAGCGCAGCCTTACGCATCCTCCTTTGTATGAATATTAATTATATATGAGGTGGTGGACACCCACCATTATATATGAGGTGGTGGACATCCACCTCCTCGCGCAAATCAGCATTGGATATGCGTGGCACGTGTTCGTCACTGAACAGACTTTCCCTCGTTTGCAGCAATCGTCAACGGTCCAGAGTGATTGGGCTCGTACCAGAGCTCATGTCGATCGATGTGCTCGCGGTTTGCGTTGATTTCTTCCGCTATCCACGCAATGCAACCCATCGCGTGGTCATAAATCCACTTGTCGATTCCCGGTAGAGTTTGAGGCAATGACGTTGTTGTGAATATCTCAATTCTGCGCTTCACGTTATCGTCTTCTTCTTTACCAAAATTCGGGAGATTATTTGTGGTGATGTAGAAGGGGCTATTATTTAATACCGTCTTTGGTAGGCCGTGCTTTACCGCAGAGACCATCCATCCGCCTTGAAGGATGCATTTGGCAAGGTCGGATTGCATCGTGCTCGCCGACCACTCGTCCACGAGGACCAGCTGAGTTTCGTTGTTAATCATAGCCGCAGAAAATTGTCTCTCGTTTGTGAGCGACGCAATGTAGCTGGCGGGAATAACACGATGGAATATGTTGGACCAAGATGTTTTGCCCGAATCTTTGGGGCCAACCAATACCAATTTCCTCACCTTGTGGGGCATGCTGAACGCGCGCAGGCACTGATAGAGTTTATTCAGGAACCGTACTCGCACGTCGTCATCAGGAAAGGAGTTGACAATGCCTTCTCGAAAATACCCAGGCTTCGGCGGTTTGGAACTGTCATATGGAACAAAAGATCTTGGCGACAGTTTTCGACGCATGGATTCCGGGATAGGACAGACGATGAACTTTCGGGCTTTGATCGAGAAACAGTACCCGTTTGATACTTCAATGAGATCCACGTCAAATTTGATCTGCTGAATTATTGCGCATGCTGGATGAGACAGAAATCTATCGACCGCTTGAAAATGCTGAATCAGCTTGTCACGCAACACTTCGTTAGCCAGAAGTTTATGCAAGTAACTAGTTACATCCATCATTTTTACAAACGTTAAATTTGACCCCTCTGGTTTCGTGTAAATTTCTGAACGATATAAGGCGTGGTCGCATAACTTCATGCATTTATCGATGTTGTTTATCAAGGCGGCGACATCGTTGTTGGATGAGAACGGTGGATTGTCCAACTTTACAACGCATGCGTTACCGAGATCAACAACAAGTCCGTCTGATTCCAGCTTTGTAACTGCTGTAGCCACACGATCCCGAAACTCGCTTTCGTTTACGACGATTATACAGCAGGGGACATTGGGGAAATGAGTTGAAACAAACTCGGGTTGATCATCCTCTTCATCATCACCTGACGGCGTTCCCTCGGAATTCTTGTAGCAATACGCGTTTGATATTTGGAGCATCTCCTGGATGGTGTTGTTGCTATGATCCTTGACCACTTGGAATAACTGTTTTGCAGCTTTTTCGAATTCCATTTCATTATTGCTATCGTATGATTTTCGCACTCGAATTCGCGTTACCTCTGCATCTAATTCTTCGTTGTGAATGGTGGAAAACAAGATCTTCTCGTTGCAAGTTGCGCATTCCTTGTACACGACGAAGTAGGCAATCGCTGGGTAGCTTTCAGGCGTGTAACTTGTTTCGTTGTCGTCGTCTTTCACGGATTTTGCGTTGCACATGACACTTGTAACGCAGGAAAAAAAGAATTGAACGCCGTTCATTGAAGAAACCACTTGGTCAAGGCGAAGTCGCTTTGAAGCGATCTGATTTCTTGCGATGTCAATGTCTGTTTCACGAACTCTCCAAACAGCACGGCATGCTACTGCTTCCAACTGTTCGGTGATCTAGACTGCATGAATTGCCGTGAATTCAGCTGCATAACATACTATTATTGACCACAGGGCCACTACAATGAATTAAGTTTGCTCAATAAACTTACCAATGGCAAAATGTTTGCTCGAAGTGAATCCTCGATCCTTTTCGAGTCCAATTGCTTGCGAGGTCGCGGTGGCATTTTCAAAATGATGATTTAATATACTTTAAAAAACAGCCGTTTCGTAAATCGTCTGTGATTTTTAAGCGTTTGGAAGTATCTACATTTGCATAGCAACGAAGTGGAACAATATATTTTACTTTGGTCATCATCATCATCATATCATCATCATCGTCATCGTCATCGTCATCGTCATCATCATCATCATCATCATCATCATCATCATCATCATCATCATCATCATTATCATCATCATCATCATCATCATCATCATCATCATCATTATTATTATTATTATCTCGCCTTTGCTGAGTAACTCACCTTGCCGGGTAGCTCGCCTCCATATAAACAGGCCATAAGGGCCAAACAACACCAATGGCAATGCTTTCTTGCCTCGATGAAGGCTTAAATATATTTATGAACGACATTTTCGACACACAACTTCCATAAACAACCTTCAAGTTACAATTACATAAACTACGGCGGCCCAGACGCAACAGCACAAAAACAGTTTTTGTATTTTTACATATTTGTATTTTTACGTCTTTGTATTTTTTTATTTTTGTATTTTTTTATTTTTTTGGTTTTGATATATTTGGATTTTTTAATGTTTAAACCCTGTCAAGTCCGTTCTGCGCATCAGTTCTGTTCACAAGTTAATAACAAAGGGGGAGCTACAGAAATAAACATTGCCCAAATTTTGCATTTTTCGAACTGTTTTGAATTGAAACGTAGAGTTTATGTAGTATTTAAAAGACGAGAAGGAGTGTTTTATCATAGCTTAAAATACGACCACAAAAGAATACTAATTAGGATGAAGAATTATATAATCATACTAATTAGGATGAACAATTATATAAAGAATACTAATGAAGATGAGTTTTATCAGATATAAAGTCACTCCACGTGACATGTTATGGCTGACATGATTTGCCACAAGGTTTATGAATTTTAAATGAGTATTTTAAATTGGCTATCTTTAAAACCAGGAACGGGGAATCGAGGAACGGAACGGAATCGAGGAACGGAACGGAACGAGAAAAGCCGGAATCTTTAAAACCCAGAACGAGAAAAGCCGGAATCTTTAAAACCCGGAACGAGAAAAGCCGGAATCTTTAAAACCCGGAACGAGAAAAGCCGGAATCTTTAAAACCCGGAACGAGAAAAGCCGGAATCTTTAAAACCCGGAACGAGAAAAGCCGGAATCTTTAAAACCCGGAATGAGAAAAGCCGGAATCTTTAAAACCCGGAATGAGAAAAGCCGGAATCTTTAAAATACGGAATTATTACGGTAATTAATAATTAATAACTAGAATTACAAATTGTAAGTGAAATGCTGCGAGCAAATACTGGAAGTTCCTGTGTCTTCCCCAGTCGTCTCTTGGGTAGTTGGGCAGTCTTCAGGATAGTAATGAGGGCCACTGATGAGGGCAACTAATGAGGGCCACTGTGAGGGCCACTAATGAGGGCCACTAATGAGGGCCACCCACTAATGAGGGCCACTAATGAGGGCCACTGTGAGGGCTACTAATGAGGGCCACTGTGATGGCCACTAATGAGGGACACTGTGAGGGCCACTAATGAGGGCCACTAATGAGGGCCACTAATGAGGGCCACTGTGAGGGCCACTAATGAGGGCCACTAATTTATCAGTAGCTCACACTTGCCGTCATGTGTTACCCTCGGTAAATAAAGTCAATGAAATGATAGTAATTGCATGTCTTAAAGTTCTATAAATTCGCATTAACTGGGTATGAATTTATTATCATTTGGATCAGGCATGTACCAGTGTACCACAAACATTTTGTGAATGAGAATCAAACAGATAAATACAATCTTTTATTAAAGCCATATTAATATAGCCTTCTAATATTATAAATGCATAAGTATTGCTTGAAAAAGCATTCATCAAAGTTGAACATAAAGTAATATTATACCTCAAATTCAAATTGTCCAATCAGGAAGCTTAGTTTGTGCCACGTGAGCATGAAATTAATCGCGATATCACGCCTTACGTCATCAATTAGCGAGCCTGCGCTCCTTTTGACAATGTTCCACCCATAAAA